CTAGAAATGTGCCCATCTTCATACATCCAAGAAATCGAAATCACCCCTTTACTTTATTCAATTTCGAATTTCAAAAACCCTGATTTTTAAGAAATTCTTGCAAATTGTAAAAGAAGTCGAAATTAACCCCACAGTTTTTTAAATTTCGACCTTCAAAAAATCTCACCTTCTAACAAATTCCTTTCCACAAAAGAAATCGAAATCACACCTTTTTTACTACCTCACTACACCCCAAGTACCCTATTTACTGGCCAAGTCATAACAAAAAGTTGCGTCACCATCTCCTCTCCGCCGTCTCTTAATAGCAGATGAGACACCCAAATCCCACCATCCAGCCGTGTACACGTCTCTCTCCCTCCGTACACCCATTGTTTTCTCTGCTTGTGCAATCTCAAATATTTGAAATTTGGTTTCCTCTCATAGTTTCAATTAGTCGTTAACATTTCTCTCTCTCTCTCTCCTCTTTCAAAGTGCAGTGCAGTATTTAGTACGTGCACAAAATATTCAACTACATCTCATGTTTATATAACGACGGCATACCTTCACTTTCTCCGCCATACGTACTTTCTCCGCTATCTGGCAACGTGCTCCTCATTCATTGCAGGCAAGCACACGGCTTGGCTTTCACTTTCGAATCTGCGCATTCATTCCGTGTCACCAACACCAGTCTCGTTTCTCGTCCGAATACCACCAGTTATTAAAAAGAGATCATGGTGATGATGACGACGGCGACGATGCCTGACTAAATCTTGAGAGAGATAGGTACGTAAATAAGAAAATGTTTTATCAACCACCACATCTGTAAGTGTCATTTCACACAGAGGAGAAAAACCTACCAGCATTGTGTCAACTTTGTATCTCTCCATTTAACCGGTCGTACAATACAGATAAAACTTTCACAGGGATACTTTTGTACTAATAAAGTGTGTCAAACGCAGATGTATTATTCGTTAAGGGGGAGAAAGCGAGATAGATAAGGGGAAAAAATATAGCGTCGCCGTCTCATCTGCACGTAGCGAGTGAAATGAATGAGAAGAAGAATCTGGTGAATGTGCTTGCTTACTTTTCCCATCAAGCAATCCCACTCAGCAGAGATGGTGGGACATAGTGAGTACTACGAGCTTTCACCAATGGGTTAGACATGTATGTGTATATATTGAGTGTAAACTAATTAAGCGGGGTGGAAAATCCGAGCGATATACTGATGAACACGTGACTTGCAAGTACAGTAAATAATTATTGCTTGTTATTTACATATTATGGTAATTTTCAAAAAATTATAATAGAAGGGTTACGACTCTTAATGGACACTTAATGGACTCTTGTCGTAAAATGTCAAAATTTTCCAAGATATGCACAGAATCGAAACCCAGTTTACTAAAACATTAATCGTTTTACTAAAGTTTGAAAACCGAAGGAGTCGCAAACCGGTTTATTGACAAATTTCTAAAATGATCGAAAAGCAGTTTTTCAAAATCTTCCGATTTTGGAACTCCTAAATATTATCCCATCCTGTACATTTTGAGACTGTCCTCCTTCCCTCTATTTTATATACAATTCTATGCCTACCGCTACTCACTCACTCACTCACTCACCCACCACCACCACTTATTGTTATCGGTTGAAAAATGTTCACAAAATTCGAGTGAAAGCAAAGCAGCAAAATGGGAAAAAAGACGAAATGTGCCTGCTTTCTCCCGATATTAGATCTCTCATGCCGTCTGTATTTACCCATGTATGTCTTGCTAGCTAGCTAGCTTGGGACGTGGCATCCATCCCCGGATTGTTGAAAATTCACTCAAGTGCACATCTTTACTTTCACTTTACTTACTATATTCCATGCTAAATTAATCTCGACTTGATTTATTGCCCATTTCATAAATTTTCCGAATAATTCTTCCTCCCCAGCAACAAATGGTAATGATGATGCTAAGTGTAACGTAATGTGGCGTGTGTAGTATAAAAGGGTATAAAATGAAATAGATTGGATTTTTTATTCCAACATTAGCCCAACAAATAAAGATTTTTACTTTGAAATTCTCAAGTAATGAGGTCTGCTCGGAAAAAAAGAAAGGGAACAACTCGTCTAAATAACTTTCAACCTGCTCGTCATCTCCCAAATATATGCTCCATAATGGCAAATTGGGCCTTATATATATGGCATCCAGGAGATCATCATCATCTCCTCCGTACAGCGTTTTATCCTCTGGCACACAAGAGAACAAACTACTTTCGAGAGAAAGCAAAATGAGCCCACGACTCAAAACTTGGTTCGTTTCACATGATCTCTTTTATAAGGAAATTGTACACACTCTGTTACTATTCTTGCTTTCCCTTCATGCATAATGCTCCTTGACTTGACTACTTTCACTCGTGGAATTCTTTACTTTTTTACAGAGATCCTAATTAACTAGCACTTATGTAGGAAAAATTGATCTTCTCATCCACACTGTTTAAATTCTGGTAGAGTTGCATATATACTCTGCAGTGGTATATATTTGGTAGTAACTTTCTACCGGATTGGTAATAATTTAGTAAATTTTTCATTGCCGCAAGATTACTAAACGGGGATGTTCGTTATTACAGTGAAAGTAGAGTTATATATGCACTTTGCTCAGTAATGACCTAATACCAGTTGTTTAAAACTGTATATACTTCGTAATGGTATAGATTTGGTAATAGCTTTCTACTGGATTGGTAGCAATTTGTTTCTGACTGGTAAATTTTTGATTACCGCAACATTACTACACGGTTATGCCCGCTATTGTCGTTTCCATAGAGTCACATACATATTTACTCCGGTCAGTAACGATTTACTACCAGTTTTCTAAGAGTGCACCATTTATATCCTACCATCACCCTTGTGTATGTACATCATCGACTAAATAACGCCTCTCTCCGAGAGAAAGATATATATACACTCCTCAAATGTCAAACTTTCTAAGTGATTTGCCCCTCTCGGGAAATGTGTTGGACATCACCTTTTGTCATTTCATTTTTGTAAGTGATTCTCCAAACGTGGTGTCTGGTTCTACTCCTCCTCGTTCGATTCCCTGCTGGCTCCTCGCTCCGAAGTATCTACAGGAGGAGGAGGAGGACGTATCAGTCATACCCTCACCCTGGCCGTGGTGGTGGTGGAACAGAAGGAATTTTGGTAATTGATTGGCCGTGATATTAATCTTGATGGGTTGCAATTCACCTGAGGGAAAATCCCGTAGATAGAAAAAACACCCAATAGACACAAAACCATGGCGGAAGTTCCCGAGAACAAGATTTCTCCCATGACATCGCGGGTCCCAAAAAAAGGGCTGCAAGGCATCGATATGAGCAACCTGACGAGAAATGGTTTCCACTTTCTCCTTCTTATTACTCGCAGCAGGGTCGCGTATTACGGTGGCAGCGGCAGCCGCGTCCTCCTCTTCTTCCAGGTCGAAACTTTCACCTGGTGACAGCTGTTGCGGGAAGCTATATTCGCTCATGAGAGGACACATGTTCCTGAAATTAAGTGTCCATCCATTCATTCATTCATTCACCCACCCACCATCCCTTCATTTCCAGACTTTCCCACTTGACGAGGTGGTGACACGGTGGAAATGAAAATATGATTGGAAAGCGCTTGTGGTTTCATGCATCTGTACGTGTAGGAGCGTAATTAGTGGGAATGGGGTGTCAAGAAGGTTGCGCCTTAACACGAGTTGCGGGTTGAAGGGAATTAATTTGGAATAATGGATCGGTACAGAAAGAGAAAGCGGGTGGAGGATGATGATGGATGTAGTCTCGACATATTCGGTTAGGTTTGGTGTGGAAGGGACTCTCTCTCTCTGAGAGAAGAAGATTAGTAATACTAGTCGTCGCAGGGTGGCCGAAATTCACCTGGTTTTGCCTGGTTCCTCCTCTTCTCTAGAAGAGACACACCATCCATATCCAGATCCAAACAGCGACACAAACGTTGCGTTTGATCCAGGAAATGATGAGTAAGGGACGACTGTGCTTTCTCCCGTCCCGAAACCTTCTTCTTCACCTCCTGACTGGGGAGAGGATGAGGTGGTGGGTTCGTTTCTGCTGGAGAAACAAGCACGACGACGAAGAGGTTGGACCACCAGCATTCCCTCTCTCCTCCGGCTGAGCGGAGCTTGATCATCATCCAACCGACTTTCTCTCTCCCGACTTTCACCTCTCTCTTCTCTTCATCTTCTTGGTCTTCTTCGACTGGTGGCTGGGGCTTTCATTCTCATGCGACGACTGTAGCCACTGACCTGTCAGTTTGGTCGCTCGTCCCTCGGGATACACACCTGTGTACAGTCTCTCTCTCACTCTCACTTCGATAAGGGTCACAAAAAGATAAAACCTTCACAATTTCGCACAGCGCAGTTCTTCTTCTGACACGACTTACATAACAGAATATCATCGTCTCACACCATTTCTCTTCTCGCTCTCTCATCTTCACCAAGAAACCACTTTGCTTTCTCCTTGTCGATAATGAGAAGAAGAAAGTTGTTGGTGGAGAAGAAGATTTGCAATCTGTGCTCCTCACAGGCCGTCAGTAGTTACATCACATAGTCGAGTGCGTAAATTCCATAAAAAAATCTTGTTCACCTCGTAACACAAACATTCATTTTGAGAAGAGGAGAAGGAGAAAGCAAAAAAAAAACAATAAATTTTCGTTTTTTTCTCCGTGTCTATTTTCGAGTAGCAGTGATGTGCAATTAATAACTTTCTCTCTCTCTATCCACCATGTGTCTCCGTCTCGCCGGGCGAGTTAGATTAATCAACTACAACAAGCTTTTCTTCCACCCGGTCGGGTGGTTGATTAAGTGGCGAAATCAGGACTGAGAAGAAGAAGAAGAAGACGCGACGCAAACAATATACACAAAGACAAAGCAGCCTCGATTCGAATTGGTCGTGACACTTGGTGTCATCAATAATGACTCCTCGTCAACGTTATCATTTCTACAGAAGACTCTTGTGTCTCACGTTATTATGTTTCCGTTTACAAACAGGCTCCGCCGGCAATCCGGACGCTAAGCGACTTTATGATGATCTCCTCTCCAACTATAACAAGTTGGTAAGGCCCGTCGTCAACGTTAGTGATGCGCTCACGGTCAAAATCAAGCTTAAATTGTCGCAACTTATAGATGTGGTAAGTAAATTTTTCTCTGTTTTAACAGCATATTATTCGTAAACACGATTGTTACCGGGAGAGAAAGTATGCAATTTTACTCACGCTTTGGTAATAATTTATCACAGAAGGGTAACAATAGGTAAATCTTGCTCAGCCTCCAATGTCAACGGTCTCATTAGTGATATCGGAGGCAGTTTTGTACCCTCCGAAGGCAACTTTCACTATAAAAAGTATTACCACGTAGACTACCTCCGCCGGTAACAATCGTATCACAAAATTATTGAGTTTCTCGAGTCACCAAATATGTCAGACCTTAAAAGCATCCCAGTAATAAAAATATTACCGACACCGGACGCAGTTTTTTTTACCTTCTTAAGATAACTTTCACTATAACTAGTATTACCACACAGACTAATACCTCCTCCGGTAACAATCCTTAATTATTGAGTCTATCCTTTCTAACTAAATAAGTCAGAAAAGTGAAAGCATAAATGCATGAATGCATATGTACAGCCGTGTGCCCTTTATTTTTTTTACTGGGCAACTTTCCCCAACTTTTTTCCCTCTCACATAAATGACAGGATATGAATAATGTCGTCAAGTTAAATGTGTGTGCGTGATGCAACAGCTCAGAGTGAAAGTAGTTTGCCTGCGTGGCGTGTCTTCTTGGGAGCACGGAGGCAGAAAAAAGAAGGAGAGGAGAGGGTGACGAGTAGAAGCTCCTCATAAGTACTTGAGAAGAACATCTTTATCCATAAATACGCAGACCAAACCACACCACGAAGGAAGAGATGAGACGGAGCAGAAACTTATGGACTGGAATGCATGCACACACAATAACACATTCATTATCTGCCGACCTATGTCTCAGCACATGCACTTTCTCCGCCTTGTTCTCCTCCTTAAGTGAAAAACTTTTCGGAACGGTAACACATATATCATCCTGGTTACAATAGACAATTTGCGACCATTTTAAAAATACCTGAAGAAGTCGGGTCACAAATCAATCCGTAAATAGTTTGGCAATTATCTCAGAGAAAGTTTTATGCCGGCGGTAGAGGAATTAATTAATTCTTGTCAGTAATTGATTTAAAAATGAGGGTCACTTTTAAACATGTGGCTTCTTTTTATCCACCCAATCTCATCAAGCAGCTTACTTTATCTCTTGGCCGCGCAATGAAATCCATTCATTGCTCGAGAAATCACAAATCAAGGCGACATATATGCAGTAAAACCTCGGCCACCATTAGTTCCCCAAACAATTTGGGATGCCAGTAGCAGGCAAAGCAAACGGCGACCCGAGGAATTGCAGGGGGCACACGAAATAAACCGGGGAGATGGCACCCATTGAATTTTAATAGGGCTCCAACTTTCTCCCCACTATTACAGAGTCATTAGTAGTTGTGAGCCGGTTGTTTGTCAAAGGACATCATCCCCAGTTTGTCCAGAAGTAGGAGAAAGTAGTCGAGATTCTGCTGTTTGCAAAGCGGGGAACGCTTTTTCCATTTCATTTCCATCCTGCTTTCTCCTCCAACTAAGTGTAAATCTATGTTTTTTCCCAAGACAAATACCGCATGGTCATTGTTAAATGTATGTGGGCCATGTGTAAACACCTCCATTTCCCGTGAAATAAGGAGAAAAACCAAGAGCAATGGCCGAGCGTGTGTGTGGATGTGTGTGTCGCCAAAAGTGAAAGATTGCCTAGGATGCCCAGATTCTGTCATCACTTTTACCAGCAGCATCCTCCAGTGCTGCTACTTCGGGTGGCTTAGTGAACATCACTTTACTCCTGAAATCTGACCATCCACCTCTCTTTCTCTCTCAGCCAAGCAACCTTCATATGACAAACGTTCATCCCGAAAATCCCAAAGTATCTTGGTCCTCCACTTGTGAGAAATTGGAGCTAACCAACCATGTGGACAGATAGTGGATGTGGTGTGCTTCATGGGCACTGCACACATCCTTGTCCTGCTTAATGCGCTAGATACGTACGAACCACCACAACATCTCTCTCCCTCTTTCCAGCCTGGCTGGCTGCTTTCACTTTCCGCACTTTCCCCACCACTCTCATATTTATTGGGATTAATAACAGAACCGGGTTCACAGTGCATGTGAAACAGACCCGCGATGATCGGAATGGATGGCAGAAGAGCGGAGAAAGTTGTGCATTTATTTGTTTGTTTATTTGTTTGGGGGTATGGATGCCTGCACAGAGGAGAGAGGGGACCAGTGGCCGCGGAGGAAGGTGTGGGGGACAGTAATATTGTAGGATAATAGGGGAGAAGGGAAGGGTTTGTATAAGATGATCGAATAACCGTGGGGACATTGTTCCTCTGTCCTTCCGCGGGCACTGGAGAGAGAGAGATGCTTGTATGCACGACTTGGTCTGGATTCCAATGCATTTTCCGAAATACGAATGGGAGATGCAAATTTTAAATGGGTTTACTCATTTGCATTGTTAATGATAAGACATAAACTACTTGGATGCATGTATGTATGCTCGGTAAATATCTATACTTTTGTGGATGGGGATGCTTATCTATGTACGCTTATCCGCTTGGCTGGAGCTGTAGGATGTGTAGGAGGATGATTCATACCTACAGATGATTCCGTTATGGACCTTGCATCACGTAAAAATCTCGTTCATAACTTTGTCTGACGTGACACGTTGCAAAACATGATAAACAAACATACCGTGTAAGCGAATTGTTTGGGTGGTGCGGGGGTTCTAGTAGTTTCAGTGGCCGCGGAAGCTGTGTTGGGACCTCGGGGGACATTAATATTGTAGGATTTGGGGAGGGCCGGGTTTGTATAAGATGGGGAAACGATGCCGACATCGAACAAACGTGGGGACATTTTCCCCTCCCACCCTTCCGCGGCCGGTGGTATTATGTTGGTCGGATTTTCGTGGCATGTCAGCCATGACAAGTGAGACTGACGAGAAAATGTATGAAATATATACCAGAATGAGAATATTTATCGATTGATATCTAGATTTTTGTGGTTTGGTTTTCTTCCCCTCGGAAAATATGAGCTTTTTGAGCGTGATTTTGGGCGTAATTCGAATTTGGGAAATATAATGAGACCCGCTCTGCCTGCAGTCAGTCAGCCACCCACCAACCGCAAACAACACGGAGGCAATAATGGGGTGGAAATTGGAGATTCCAGGTTGACGTTCAAAAACAAATTTGATTTGCATTTTCAAGTGTGGGGCCAAACCAAGCCAAGCCACGAGTCAGACTCAGCTAAAATATAGATACGTGAATTTCTGTCGGAGCTGGAGGTGACTCAAATATTATTGCCTCACTTTCCATCATCGTAATCATCTCGGTAATGAAAAGTGACAACAGTGGGAGAAGACCACCGTGTCTCTCGAGCTGTCCTGTAATGGTCAGACGGCAGGGTTTCCAGCGAGGTGAAAGGCTGTACTCACTAAAATAATATGGTACGGACTTTCACCTGGGTGGGTAACGATTGTTTGCTTAATGGTGGTAACAAGGATTGAAAAAATTGCTTAGGTTTATCACTTTATTTAAGTTGACTTTTGAATTTGGCGGACAATTGTGTACAGTACGGTATTAAAGAGTTATCTACACTCTTAGAAAATTGGTAGTAATTCATTACTGATAGGAGTAGGCATACATAGATATGACTCTAGGGGCACTGGTAATAGCGGGTATAACCATTTAGTAATGCTGTGGTAATGACAAATTTACCAAACTATTACCGATCCGGTAGAAAGTTAGTACTAAATCATTACTGACCAGAGTACATATGTATACTACGGTTTGAATTGTATAATTACACCTTTTCTTCATAAGGAATGGGTACAAAAAAGAGTTTAATTTTAAAATACAAACCATAGGAATTACCGTTAAGAATGTTGTAGAATAAAACTACTACCAGCCCGGTCAGAAGTTATTACCAAATCAATACCAGTATATCCATAACTCTACCCTATTTTTACCCGTGTATCCATTTTTCCCCGGATTATTTACAGTGTGCAAAAGTCAAAATCCACCCAAATAAATAATATACCCGGCGTATGGAAATAAACCAATTCTACACCCGCTCTCCCACGCACACACAATTCCATACAATTCCAGCGCACACTAACTGAAATAAATCTTCCTTGCCCGGCGAACTCGGCGTTTTTTTCTTCATTTCCTTTCCCCTTGAAGAAGTAGTGAAAGTGAAGTCGTACAAAAAATAATTCCACAAAGAGAAGTGAAAAAAAGTTGAAAAGTGGCTTCTGTCCCGCACCACCGGCCACGCCACGCGGATGGATGAGACTTGAGCAGGTGTTCCTCGATGTGCAGGCAGCAGTTCTGTGTTCATTAACAAAACGTCCACAATTTGTTGAAAGAATGGAGCCATGAAATATGGGAAATATCTCCGCCGAAAGAGCTTAAGGATTAATCCAAGATTGCGAGTGCTAAAAAGCCAGCCGAGTAGAGTAAGTAGTGCAAAATAATTGGAATGTAAAGGGTGAAGAGTCGTTTTACATAACTAACTCGGCACAGAAAAGCCACTGAGGGTGGGGGCGCAAACCGGGTTCGGGACAGATTATTTTGTGACCGGGTTAGATTGATAGAGGAACTCTTTAGGAACAAGATTTAGTGCGGGAATTGCGCAGATACGAAAAATTCGGCATGTTTTGGGCGCCGCAAGTTCGCGAAAACGTTCGGTTTTCCAGCGAAATCTGCGATGGTGGCAGTAGGGGCGCGTTTTCGCGAACTTGCGGCGTCCAGACCTTGCTGAATTTTTGATTAATTTGAAAAAGTAACTTTTTAGGAATAACATTTAGCGCGGTATTTGCGTAGATTTGAAAAATTCGGCGAATTTGAGTAAGTTCGCGAAAAAGCTCAGAATCTCCACCTTGAAACAGAACCTCAGACTTTTAGCTAACTTGCGGCGCCCAAACCTTGCCGAATTTTTCGCCTCTGCACAAGCCCCTCACTAAAACTTGTACCTAAAGAGTTGCCCCTTCAAACTAACATGATCACAAAAAATCCGGC